ATGACGACGAACCGGAGTCAGGTCGAGACCCCGATGAGGACGACGAGCATGCAGATGAGCTTCCCTGAGACGGTTTCTGACAGTTTGTGCAGAAATTCTTTGGTTATGCAAAGCGATTGTTGCAGCAGCTGTCCGAGTGGCTGGTCTCAGACGATCTTGGAGGTGAACATGCTGATGTGGAGGTCCTGGGCTGGTGTGGTTACACGTGGTCTGCGGTTGTGAGGCCGGTTGGATGTACTGCCAAATTCTCTGAAACGCCTTTGGAGACGGCTTATGGTAGAGAAATGAACATTCAATTCACGGGCAACAGCTCTGGTGGACATTCCTGCTGTCAGCATGCCAATTGCACGCTCCCTCAAAACTTGCGACATCTGTGGCATTGTGCTGTGTGATAAAACTGATTTTTTTTAGAGTGGCCTTTTATTGTGGCCAGCCTAAGGCACACCTGTGCAATAATCATGCCGTCTAATCAGCATCTTGATATGCCACACCTGTGAGGTGGGATGGATTATCTCGGTAAAGGAGAAGTGCTCACTATCACAGATTTTTTCAGATTTGTGAACAATATTTGAGATAAACAAGTGAGTGCCTGTTTTTCCTGGCCAAGGTCAGGGTCCTTGAACACAACACAAGCCTAACGTGTCATCACGTGGTATGTCTCGTCTGACAGGGGTGTAGTTCTGACGGAGAGCACCAGAACGCATGCTCCGCTCCGGCACTTCCAAAAATTGCAGAACCCATAAGGAGCCGTACACATGCTGCAGTTTTTGCGTGGCTGTGTCTTAGTTGAAAGCCCAGTGGCGATCTGCTCATCTGTCATACAGTCAATAACTTTGTTGTTATTAGCATCTTGTTAGCTAGCTATGCTAACGAATATAAGAAGCTTCTTCTACAACCAGTGAGGTAAAGGCACATCTTTATATGATCATTATAGTTATAAAACAAATAAGAGAATAAAGTAAACAGGTATAAAATACTATATGACAGTAAAAAAAAGTTGTTATTAATAAACAAGAATACAGTTTGAAAGGAGAGTGATTTGTAAAATACCCATAAAGAAAAAGTAAATCTGTTTACAGTTCTGTTTCATCTGGGTGTTGAGAGATGTATCCATAGATCTCCTAATGTTGCTCTCAAAGTGCACCAGATTGATGCTTTTAACTTCAACATTTAAAAAAACAAATCTTCGTGCATGCGTGAGTCATGGCAAGATATCTGGATTAAGAGGTTGCTTTTTCTTTGCACAGCATGAAAGAAAGGTGAAATGAGTGGGCTGTGATTTTAGTATTTTTAAGCAGAGGTCAATAATGTGTACGGCCCTCGGAGGATGTTGAAAACATTTAAATGGCCCTTGAGAGGAAAAACGTTCCCCACCCCTGCTATAGGGGCAGTGTGCTGCCATCCCCACCATACGTCATCTCACATAATTCAGAGCTGATTGGCTGTAAGTACGTGTCCAGCGAAAAGTGTGGTGTGTGAAGAGGAGACAAAAGAGGTGCAGTGACGCGTCCTAAAACCCGGAAGTAAGCTGCGCATGGCTTCCCTCGACAAAAAAGCAATGACATTTCTCCATAGGATTTTAGAAAATAGCTCAAAATAAGATCTGTGGGAAACGTATCTGTTAGATAAATGCACGTTTTGTTCAGCCGGATAATATCCACATGTCTACCCTACTTTTATAATGTTTTAATCATAAATCTATCGATTAGATTTATGATAGACTTTTGAAACTACAAGAAGATAAGGAGGACTTTTACAAGAAATTAAGATATTTTTGTCCAGAAGGATAGGCAAATGGACTTCATCTTCAAGTCAAGGTAAGACTGCAATTGTATTGAAAATGGGATCTTACTAAGAGAGAACAATTAAATATTGAAATGATAAAATTACATTTTTTGGGTATCCTTTTGTTGAACTGTCCGTTTAAAATTAATGGAAGCATCAGAAGAAAAAAAACTTTTGAAAATAATATTATATTTTGATTTAAGTCCAAATATAATATTTGTAAACCTGAAGAGTCAGTGCCAGTACCTCACCAGCCATGAACCTCATTGCAGAAGCTTATATATAGACATCTACGTTTTTTGTGCCCCACCACTTTTGTACATATAAAAACGCCACTGGCAATGTGCAATATAAACACAAATGTGAAAAAAGTCCCAACTTATATTCTTTTAAGGTCCCAATACTACAATGCCATCTATGTGACTCAGTTTACTCAAATTGCTGTTACTCATTTTGTAGCTATAGTTGTGTACTTATTTGTCTTTATTTATATTTTATTACTAATGTGTGCTTTACTTTTTTACTTTTACCTGCTATTCAACTTAAGCTGTAACACTTTAAATGTCCCCGCTGTGGGACTAATAAAGGATTTCTGATTGCAAATTGGTTTAAACTTTGTATTTTGATGAAGGAACTACAGAAAACAGGTTTCTTTCTTCCTCAAAGAATCAATCAAAAACAATTCTGCAGTGATGATATATATATATATATATATATATATATATACTGTATATATATATACAGTGGGGCAAAAAAGTATTTAGTCAGCCACCAATTGTGCAAGTTCTCCCACTTAAAAAGATGAGAGGCCTGTAATATTCATCCTAGGTACACTTCAACTATGAGAGACAGAATGGGGGGAAAGAATCCAGGAAATCACATTGTAGGATTTTTAATGAATTAATTGGTAAATTCCTCGGTAAAATAAATATTTAGTCACCTTCAAACAAACAAGATTTCTGGCTCTCACAGACCTGTAACTTATTCTTTAAGACCCTCCTCTGTCCTCCACTCGTTAACTGTATTAATGGCACCTGTTTGAACTCGTTATCAGTATAAAAGACACCTGTCCACAACCTCAAACAGTCACACTCCAAACTCCACTATGGCCAAGACCAAAGAGCTGTCAAAGGACACCAGAAACAAAATTGTAGACATGCACCAGGCTGGGAAGACTGAATCTGCAATAGGTAAGCAGCTTGGTGTGAAGAAATCAACTGTGGGAGCAATTATTAGAAAATGGAAGACATACAAGACCACTGATAATGTCCCTCGATCTGGGGCTCCACGCAAGATCTCACCCCGTGGGGTCAAAATGATCACAAGAACGGTGAGCAAAAATCCCAGAACCACACGGGGGGACCTAGTCAATGACCTGCAGAGAGCTGGGACCAAAGTAACAAAGGCTACCATCAGTAACACACTACGCCGCCAGGGACTCAAATCCTGCAGTGCCAGACGTGTCCCCCTGCTTAAGCCAGTACATGTCCGGGCCCGTCTGAAGTTTGCTAGAGAGCATTTAGATGATCCAGAAGAGGATTGGGAGAATGTCATATGGTCAGATGAAACCAAAATAGAACTTTTTGGTAAACACTCAACTAGAGGTGTTTGGAGGAGAAAGAATGCTGAGTTGCATCCAAAGAACACCATACCTACTGTGAAACATGGGGGTGGAAACATCGTGCTTTGGGGCTGTTTTTCTGCAAAGGGACCAGGACGACTGATCCGTGTAAAGGAAAGAATGAATGGGGCCATGTATCGTGAGATTTTGAGTGACAACCTCCTTCCATCAGCAAGGGCATTGAAGATGAAACGTGGCTGGGTCTTTCAGCATGACAATGATCCCAAACACACCGCCCGGGCAACGAAGGAGTGGCTTCGTAAGAAGCATTTCAAGGTCCTGGAGTGGCCTAGCCAGTCTCCAGATCTCAACCCCATAGAAAATCTTTGGAGGGAGTTGAAAGTCCATGTTGCCCAGCGACAGCCCCAAAACATCACTGCTCTAGAGGAGATCTGCATGGAGGAATGGGCCAAAATACCAGCAACAGTGTGTGAAAACCTTGTGAAGACTTATAGAAAACGTTTGACCTCTGTCATTGCCAACAAAGGGTATATAACAAAGTATTGAGATTAACTTTTGTTATTGACCAAATACTTATTTTCCACCATAATTTGCAAATAAATTCTTTAAAAATCAGACAATGTGATTTTCTGGATTTTTTTTTTTTTCTTCTCATTCTGTCTCTCATAGTTGAGGTATACCTAGGATGAAAATTACAGGCCTCTCATCTTTTTAAGTGGGAGAACTTGCACAATTGGTGGCTGACTAAATACTTTTTTGCCCCACTATATATATATATATATATATATATATATATATATTACAATGCGCTTTTCCTGGTGCTCAAAGCGCTTTACAAGCAAATAAAGAAGAAAAATAACAACAAAAGTAAAAAGTGCAAAGCTAGGTGGAATAGGGGCGACGGGTTAGTGGATTAGGAGTTGAAGGCAAGAGTGAAAAGGTGAGTTTTGAGGGAATGTTTGAATGACGTGAGAGTGTTGGCAGATTGGACGTGGCTGGGGAGGGAGTTCCAAAGTGAGGGGGAGTCTGCTGCGAAGGCATATATATATGCATAATATATATATATATATTATGTCTTATACCCCGATTGCCTTTTACTCTGTTCAATTGTATTTTGAGTCTTATTTAACAGACATATGTTTAGGTTTGATATTCCGGTAGGGCAAAAGGTGGATTTACAAATGGTTATGACTGGGGGGTTTTATGGTTTAATGGTGGGAATGATAAGATAATGTCAAACATAATTCATGGGAATAGGATTAGTAGACTGTTTTTCTTTCTTCTATAGAGTGGGAATGTAAGCTGTATTGGGGGTGCAGAACTTCTTTATCCTCTGAGAATGAAGTTCATTTGAGATCGATTTCAATTGTATCTGACTTTCTTTATTACTTTATTAAATATAAAAATAGACAAGCTTGTTTATTAATCATTTATCAGTTTCTCTTAACGGAATTGAAATGCCCACCACAATGTAATCTGCGTTTTTTCGGCATTCTCTAAACTCTGAAAGGTCTTTATCAACCCAGAAGCTTGTTCACTCAAAGCCATCTGCTCAATTCCAATCTTCATCTTTGGGTCAACATCTTTGACATTGTCTTTATCAACCGTGCAATAATGATTTTATTTGACTTACTTGTGTTGGCAGATGTTACAGTTGGCCTGCTTATTCTTCCATTCCGAAGTTTTGTAGAAACCTCTAGAAAGTAAGACTCCCCTGGCTTCAGGTTGCTGAATGTCATCTTGTTTGTGTCAGTTGTCTCTTTCATAATGTCTCCCTCACTGCAACAAGTCACAATGTAACTCTCCACTTCACCAGCAGGGGGGTCCCAATGCAGAGACAGTGACTCACTGCTGACCTGGTCGACTGTAATCTGCACAGGAGGGCTGGGCTCTATGGGAACATACAAAGGTTTCACTGAAACTGAAAATTCATATTCTGTCAATGTTTGTCTGCATTCTAAAGTGCAAGTAAAATAGTTGTAGTGACCCTTATTTGTCTGAAAGTAACTTTTAACAGACATTTCGTAGATTTGTTCAGGAAGTGATCCAAAAGATTCAGAAAACACTTGTTTTTCTGATTTACCTGTGAAGACAGATAGCGAGGTTGCTTTGCTTTGATTTCCATTGTCTGCAATCCTTGTGATGCTGAAGGTATACTCAGTGCCAGGTATCAGTCCATAAACCTTCACAGGGCTGGAGTCATCAACAGTCAAACTGCCTCTGTGTGTTTCACAGGAGTAATCTAACTGTAGTCTAAACCCAGCAGAGTTTTCAGTGGGTGGAAAGCCAAGAGAAACTGTGTCCTGGTCAGAATCAACAACTGTTACTTCCCCTGGTGGAGGAACATCTGTCATAAGAGAAGAAAAGTACATCTCAGTACCTTCTCATAACGCTGCATATTCGTTACATTAGATCAGTTGTTGACAGTCACACTTACGTTCGGACTCTGGTGCTGCTGAAGTTACTCTGTTCCAGCATTTTAAATCGATTTCAATTGTATCTGACTTTCTTTATTACTTTATTAAATATAAAAATAGACAAGCTTGTTTATTAATCATTTATCAGTTTCTCTTAACGGAATTGAAATGCCCACCACAATGTAATCTGCGTTTTTCTCGGCAGTCTAGAAACTCTGAAAGGTCTTTATTAACCCAGAAGCTTGTTCACTTAAAGCCATCTGCTCAATTCCAATGTTCATCTTTGGGTCAACATCTTTGACATTGTCTTTATCAACCGTGCAATAATGATTTTATTTGACTTACTTGTGTTGGCAGACGTTACAGTTGGCCTGCTTATTCTTCCATTCCGAAGTTTTGTAGAAACCTCTAGAAAGTAAGACTCCCCTGGCTTCAGGTTGCTGAATGTCATCTTGTTTGTGTCAGTTGTCTCTTTCATAATGTCTCCCTCACTGCAACAAGTCACAATGTAACTCTCCACTTCACCAGCAGGGGGTTCCCAATGCAGAGACAGTGACTCGCTGCTGACCTGGTCGACTGTAATCTGCACAGGAGGGCTGGGCTCTATGGGAACATACAAAGGTTTCACTGAAACTGAAAATTCATATTCTGTCAATGTTTGTCTGCATTCTAAAGTGCAGGTAAAATAGTTGTAGTGACCCTTATTTGTCTGAAAGTAACTTTTAACAGACATTTCGTAGATTTGTTCAGGAAGTGATCCAAAAGATTCAGAAAACACTTGTTTTTCTGATTTACCTGTGAAGACAGATAGCAAGGTTGCTTTGCTTTGATTTCCATTGTCTGCAATCCTTGTGATGCTGAAGGTATACTCAGTGCCAGGTATCAGTCCATCAACCTTCACAGGGCTGGAGTCATCAACAGTCAAACTGCCTCTGTGTGTTTCACAGGAGTAATCTAACTGTAGTCTAAACCCAGCAGAGTTTTCAGTGGGTGGAAAGCCAAGAGAAACTGTGTCCTGGTCAGAATCAACAACTGTTACTTCCCCTGGTGGAGGAACATCTGTCATAAGAGAAGAAAAGTACATCTCAGTACCTTCTCATAACGCTGCGTATTCGTTACATTAGATCAGTTATTGACAGTCACACTTACGTTCGGACTCTGGTGCTGCTGAAGTTACTCTGTTCCAGCATTTTAAATCGATTTCAATTGTATCTGACTTTCTTTATTACTTTATTAAATATAAAAATAGACAAGCTTGTTTATTAATCATTTATCAGTTTCTCTTAACGGAATTGAAATGCCCACCACAATGTAATCTGCGTTTTTCTCGGCAGTCTAGAAACTCTGAAAGGTCTTTATCAACCCAGAAGCTTGTTCACTTAAAGCCATCTGCTCAATTCCAATCTTCATCTTTGGGTCAACATCTTTGACATTGTCTTTATCAACCGTGCAATAATGATTTTATTTGACTTACTTGTGTTGGCAGACGTTACAGTTGGCCTGCTTATTCTTCCATTCCGAAGTTTTGTAGAAACCTCTAGAAAGTAAGACTCCCCTGGCTTCAGGTTGCTGAATGTCATCTTGTTTGTGTCAGTTGTCTCTTTCATAATGTCTCCCTCACTGCAACAAGTCACAATGTAACTCTCCACTTCACCAGCAGGGGGTTCCCAATGCAGAGACAGTGACTCGCTGCTGACCTGGTCGACTGTAATCTGCACAGGAGGGCTGGGCTCTATGGGAACATACAAAGGTTTCACTGAAACTGAAAATTCATATTCTGTCAATGTTTGTCTGCATTCTAAAGTGCAAGTAAAATAGTTGTAGTGACCCTTATTTGTCTGAAAGTAACTTTTAACAGACATTTCGTAGATTTGTTCAGGAAGTGATCCAAAAGATTCAGAAAACACTTGTTTTTCTGATTTACCTGTGAAGACAGATAGCAAGGTTGCTTTGCTTTGATTTCCATTGTCTGCAATCCTTGTGATGCTGAAGGTATACTCAGTGCCAGGTATCAGTCCATCAACCTTCACAGGGCTGGAGTCATCAACAGTCAAACTGCCTCTGTGTGTTTCACAGGAGTAATCTAACTGTAGTCTAAACCCAGCAGAGTTTTCAGTGGGTGGAAAGCCAAGAGAAACTGTGTCCTGGTCAGAATCAACAACTGTTACTTCCCCTGGTGGAGGAACATCTGTCATAAGAGAAGAAAAGTACATCTCAGTACCTTCTCATAACGCTGCGTATTCGTTACATTAGATCAGTTATTGACAGTCACACTTACGTTCGGACTCTGGTGCTGCTGAAGTTACTCTGTTCCAGCATTTTAAATCGATTTCAATTGTATCTGACTTTCTTTATTACTTTATTAAATATAAAAATAGACAAGCTTGTTTATTAATCATTTATCAGTTTCTCTTAACGGAATTGAAATGCCCACCACAATGTAATCTGCGTTTTTCTCGGCAGTCTAGAAACTCTGAAAGGTCTTTATCAACCCAGAAGCTTGTTCACTTAAAGCCATCTGCTCAATTCCAATCTTCATCTTTGGGTCAACATCTTTGACATTGTCTTTATCAACCGTGCAATAATGATTTTATTTGACTTACTTGTGTTGGCAGACGTTACAGTTGGCCTGCTTATTCTTCCATTCCGAAGTTTTGTAGAAACCTCTAGAAAGTAAGACTCCCCTGGCTTCAGGTTGCTGAATGTCATCTTGTTTGTGTCAGTTGTCTCTTTCATAATGTCTCCGTCACTGCAACAAGTCACAATGTAACTCTCCACTTCACCAGCAGGGGGGTCCCAATGCAGAGACAGTGACTCGCTGCTGACCTGGTCGACTGTAATCTGCACAGGAGGGCTGGGCTCTATGGGAACATACAAAGGTTTCACTGAAACTGAAAATTCATATTCTGTCAATGTTTGTCTGCATTCTAAAGTGCAAGTAAAATAGTTGTAGTGACCCTTATTTGTCTGAAAGTAACTTTTAACAGACATTTCGTAGATTTGTTCAGGAAGTGATCCAAAAGATTCAGAAAACACTTGTTTTTCTGATTTACCTGTGAAGACAGATAGCGAGGTTGCTTTGCTTTGATTTCCATTGTCTGCAATCCTTGTGATGCTGAAGGTATACTCAGTGCCAGGTATCAGTCCATCAACCTTCACAGGGCTGGAGTCATCAACAGTCAAACAGCCTCTGTGTGTTTCACAGGAGTAATCTAACTGTAGTCTAAACCCAGCAGAGTTTTCAGTGGGTGGAAAGCCAAGAGAAACTGTGTCCTGGTCAGAATCAAGAACTAGTACTTCCCCTGGTGGAGGAACATCTGTCATAAGAGAAGAAAAGTACATCTCAGTATCTTTACATATCTCTGCTACGTATATATTTGTTACATTAGATCAGTTATTGACAGTCACACTTACGTTCGGACTCTGGTGCTGGAGTGTTCTTTCCTTCCTCACAGCATGGGTCAGGGAAGGAATCTGATGCATCATAATATTCCTTGGTAATAAAAAAATATGTTTTAATTGAAATAGTAATGAGTTAATTAATCATATCCTTATTCACAATAGCGTAAATGACAACTTCTATTTATACTGTAATGTTTTAGTTCTTTAATTGTTTACCTCCTCATCAGAGCTATCCATTGCAGAAACACTCTCAGTCATCCCACACTCTCCAGATTATTCAAACAGCTTCTCACTGAAAACATTGAAAAGAATCCTGTAACACCATCTTCTACTCCAACAACTATGTAACACAAAAATCACAGAGAAAAAAAAACAATCAGCAGACTATATGAGCCATGAAGGAAAGATTAAACATGATGAGTCTATTAGGAATTGACTGGACTCTGACCCAGCCCAGCCGACAACAATTTGTGCCATGTAGCGGTGGGCTATTGGTTTAAGTAGCCTACCTGTGCAACCCGGTATCACGGCAAGACGTGAACATGTGACGATTTACCATGCTGGGAGACGTGAAGATGTCACGGTTTCGTCCCCTTCAAACGTGACAGCTACACGGTATTGTTAACCCATGTTAACCAGTGGAGAAATAACCGGAAATACCAAGCAAATGCTACCCCGACGTAATGATTTATTTTTTCATAGTCACACTCGATTACAGCGATTTTCTTGTTGCCCCAGCTGGTCGTCACCTCTTTTAGCAGAAACAAAGGCTACATTAATGTATTAAATCGATGTTAATCCATGCGTGTGGATGTGGAATTAACGGACGTGACGTTGTGCGATTGAGTTGCCAAGCAACAGCTTCGGTTCATGTTAATTTACAAACTATTCAACTACAACTGTAGTTATATTTAAAAACATGTTAGAAGGCCTCACAAAATACTTTAATGCACATTAAAATGTAAATGTGAAGGAATGTGTGTATAACAAAATACATCGGTCATTAAACGAAACCGGAAACAGACGTAGGCAAGATCCTCAGCTCGATGATTGGATGGTTATCCGCAATGCATGCTGGGATTTGGTGTTTATGTGATGTGAAATCTGAAAACGTTTTTTAAAAATTAGGGCCGGGACTTTAACTCGTTAATTAAGATTAATTAATTACACAACAATTAACGCGTTAAAAAAAAGTAACGCATTTTAATCGCACTTATTTTTGCACCGCGGAACGTTTCTCACTGGATGAGTTTCAGGCGTACCGATTATACTGGAGCACCAACTAACGTTCATGACTTCAGACAACAACAAACCACAGTGAACAACAGTGGGAAATGTTTTAAAAAACGGACGGATGGAAGCGTCGATAAGAGCACGGTTGTGTGCAAATTATGCAAAAAGGAATTCGCATATCACCGCAGCACATCAAGCCTCAAGTATCACCTCAATGCAAAACATATAGCAGCTAGCGTGGACGTTAGCCTCTTTTATCGCGTTCACACCAAAAAGAGCCGGTACTAAAATTAGTTCATGAGAACCTTTTTACCCCCACGAAAGTCCCTGCTAGAGAGCAGAGAGCTGCTAGAGAGCAGGGACTTTCGTACGGCTCTCTTGTGACAAAAGAGCTATATTTCTGATTGGCTGGGCGGATTGCAAACCACGCCCCGTAAAACTCCCAAAAAGTTTTGTGAAGCCGCCATTTTATTATCCTCGCATTAGCATTATTAGCATTAGCCCAGCGCAGAAACGCAGAGAGACTAACTTATGGCAACACAAAATAAAACATGGGAGCGGTGGAGATGAGGAGGTGTCGGCGTTCTGGCGATTTACTCGGAAGGCTGCTGGGACTCCCAGCAGCTTCTACTGAAGCCAGTCCCCAACTCCGGGGACTTCCGGCCGGGGACTTTGGGCGGCAGTATACGCCGTGAAGTGGTTTGCGGCCTGCCAGTAAACCCAAAGCAGAAGAAGAAAAAGTGACGTCAGCGGCTTAATTTGCCTAATCCACCCCCAGGTTCAAAGAGTTCTCATGAACTAAATTCTCATGAACCTTTGTGGGAAAAGTACTGCGGTGTGAATGCGCCTAATGGTATACTAAAATCCATGTGAAAAAAATTGCTTCTCACTGTTCTTAGGTCAAATATTTATATGTGATTAAAAATGCGATTAATTTCGATTAATTAATTACAAAGCCTCTAATTAATTAGATTAATTTTTTTAATCGAGTCCCGGCCCTATTAAAAATACAATAATACTTTATTCCGAGTGTGCTTGCTTTTCTCTTTGAAAGTCATCACATAACGGCATTTTAATACACGGTTCGGCTGCATTAAATATTACATATCTGCCGTAATTCTCTATTTATAGAGCCCTGCTGAGAAGACTTCTGGACAAACAGGAGAACTGCCGCCAAAACTGAAAACGTGACGTGGATCATAAATATATAAGCAATTAAACAACATCTTACATTTCTTTTCACACAATACGTCTCCTTGCAGTATCAACACTAATTCGGCTGACTTTTATATTTGATCCAATTGGTAGATAGTCTGTATTTACACCATAACCGTGCAGAGCTGATAGAAAGGGACACCTGGTGGTCAAAGCACGTTATTGAATTGTATTATTTTATTATTAGATATTAATAGGAGGATGTGCAAAACAGACAAACTAATAAGGCTTAATTTAAACATTAAAGAGTACTTTAGGTTAAGGTCTTATTTTGAATAAGAAAAAAGCTTTAAGAAGAATATGGAGGGATGAAACCCTCTTGAAACCGCAGGTCCTTCCTTCCTGCAGCGGTCAGACTTTACAACCAGCACTGCCCCTAGTAGACCCTCCTACACACACCACAACACAGACTATAACACCCCTTGCTGCTAAATACAAACCAACTTTGTGCAATATGTGCTATATGTGCAATATATATATGCCATTAATAACTGTGTAATTTATACCCGGCCACTAAATCAATATATATGCCGTTTTGTTTTTGATCTGTATTTTTGAAAATTATGTAACTTTTTATCTTTTTTTTAGCATATTGTTTATTATATTATAACTTAGTACTTTTTTAGCATATTGTTTATTTTATTCTAACTTAGTACTTTTTTAACGCATGTAAGATATGCAACACTAAGCTGTCTGTGGCTCTTTCCTGCTGAAACGCTGCACATTTCCCCTCTGTGGAACTAATAAAGGTATTCTGATTCTGATTCTTTAATGGTCACACATGCAGAGCACACAGCACACACAGTGACATTTGTATCTACAGATAAATATTAAGCATGACAAAGTACTTAATGTCTAATATATTGCTTTCCTGCAATGTTAACTATGTTTAAGCACTTATTTGTTTATTATTTGTTTATTATTAAACTGATATTATACATATGTATTATACTCTTATAAGATGTATGTAGATAGTATAAGAAATGTGCAGAATGACAGTTTAATGGTGGAGTATACACACATATTTATAGATGTCTTGTAATGCACTGTTGAGGAACCTGCGACCCAAGTTTTTCATTCATTGCATAACTACACAGTAGTTGTGTATAATATGATATGTCAATAAACCTTAGCTTATAAAATCTTGAAATCTTGAAAGGGATGTTCAAACTAGTCATTATATACAGTCTTTAATTAACTATTAGTAGAGAATAACGAGTAATGAATATACTTTATAGGGATCCTATTAATATCTAATAATAAAAATAATGAAATTCAATAACATGCTTTAACCACTAGGTGTCCCTTTCTATCAGCTGTGCACCTTTATGGTGTAAATACAGCCTATCTACCAATTGGATCAAATATAAAAGTCAGCCGAATTAGTGTTGATACTGCAAGGAGACGTATTGTGTGAAAATAAATGTAAGATGTTGTATAATTGCTTATATATTTATGATCCACGTCACGTTTTCAGTTTTGGCGGCAGTTCTCCTGTTTGTCCAGAAGTCTTCTCAGCAGGGCTCTATAAATAGAGAACTACGGCAGATATGTCATATTTAATGCAGCCGAACCGTGTATTACAAAGCCGTTATGTGATGACTTTCAAAGAGTAAAGCAAGCACACTCGGAATAAAGTATTATTGTATTTTTAAAAACGTTTTCAGATTTCACATCACATAAACACCAAATCCCAGCATGCATTGCGGATAACCATCCAATCATCGAGCTGAGGATCTTGCCTACGTCTGTTTCCGGTTTCGTTTAATGACCGATGTATTTTGTTATACACACATTCCTTCACATTTACATTTTAATGTGCATTAAAGTATTTCGTGAGGCCTTCTAACATGTTTTTAAATACAACTACGGGTGTAGTTGAATAGTTTGTAAATTAACATGAACCGAAGCTGTTGCTTGGCAACTCAATCGCACAACGTCACGTCCGTTAATTCCACATCCACACGCATGGATTAACATCGATTTAATACATTAATGTAGCCTTTGTTTATACTAAAAGAGGTGTCGACCAGCTTGGGCAACAAGAAAATCGCTGTAATCGAGTGTGACTATTAACAAATAAATCATTACGTCGGGGTAGCATTTGCTTGGTATTTCCGGTTATTTCTCCACTGGTTAACATGGGTTAACAATACCGTGTAGCTGTCACGTTTGAAGGGGACGAAACCGTGACATCTTCACGTCTCCCAGCATGGTAAATCGTCACATGTTCACGTCTTGCCGTGATACCGGGTTGTACCTGTGCCACCTGACTCTTGCATTTGTGCATGTGCACAGGTTTTGCTGGTTGAGAATGTTATGTAACCACTTAACAATCTCCAGCCAGAATCAACACAATCAGTGGCTGATATGGGAGACATGGGCGGTTGCCCAGGGCGACATTTTGACGGGGGCGGCACAAGCGCAATTTGCACGTCATTTCATATACTGTATTGTTGTTGGTAGAAGGGGGCGCGGCCGCCCTTCTGACAGCCGGCAGCTGGGATGGAAGGTCTCCCACTCAAAGAAGGGCGGGGTTTATGATCCATATATGGGTTGATCTCAGGTCACCTCACTATGGGGGAGAGAGAGGGTGGCGGCGGATACACTATCTCTATCAAATAAACACTTTCGATGTTTATAAAGTTAGTCAAATTAATTTCACGCCTCGAAATGCCACTGAGGTAATTCTTACAATATAAATAGTTTTGCAGATTTATCTTGGCCTGGGTTGTATGAAACAATAAAGAATTATTTAAATACTGACTGCGGCAACTTGGTATAGTCTTCTTGACCTGTAGTTGACTGTGTTGGGGGAGGGGTACGCTATGCATTGATTCTCGG